ATATCTGTGTCTGCAACATACAATGTACCAGTGTACCTGAAAATTCGGAAAAAGGGTCTTCTCAGATAGTCGTTACTTAACCATAACCAAAAGGCTTGGTTACGAAGGAAGAGATACAAGTATCATTCGTTTCTATATCTGTCTCTGTTACATGCAATGTACCAGTGTACCTGACAACTCGAAAAAGGGATCTTCTTAAGTAGTCGCTCCATAACCACAATCAGAAGGCTTGGTTACGGAGGGGGCGACCTTTGTTTCGTAGAAAGAGAGACAGGTATCGTTCGTTTCTATATCTATGTCTGCTACATACAATGTACCAGTGTACCTGAAAATTCGGAAAAAGGGTCTTCTCCGATGGTCGTTACTTAACCATAACCAAAAGGCTTGGTTAAGAAGGAAGAGATACAGGTATCACTCGTTTCTATATCTGTCTCTGTTACATACAATGTACCAGTGTACCTGAAAACTCGAAAAAGCGATCTTCTTAAGTAGTCGCTCCATAACCACAATCAGAAGGCTTGGTTACGGAGGGGGCGACCTTTGTTTCGTAGAAAGAGAGACAGGTATCGTTAGTTTCTATATCTGTCTCTGTTGCACAGTGTAGCAGAAAATTCTGAAATATTGTATTTACAGGTAGTCGCTCCTAAGAAGTCAAGGTTTGACCGGCTCTGCGTTACACTTTTAACTGAATTAGAATCCGATGCAGTCAAAACCCTAGCCTAACCTAACCTCTAACAATCAGGTGGAGTCGTTTAAATTGATTATGCACAATTTCTGTCTGCTCTACTATCATTGAATCATTTTAAATTTGGTAAATGTTATAATTTTTCCAATTTTATACAAAGAAGTTCACAGTTATATTAATATTAAAGTTTTCTAAATTCGGAAGCTATGCAACAGCCATGGTTACGTAACAAAACATACCTGTTATTACTTATTACTTGTAGTCTATCAGTTTGAAACGTTACTGACACTTTCCACTATCTAGTTGAGATTGTTTATGCTTTTCAATTCACAAAAAGGGAAAATTAGGAGTCTAGTGTAGTTAGTCATTAATAATTAGTTCATTCTCCGTGATCATTTTTCCATTCACTAAACGAATACAAAGAGCTATTAAGTAAAAATACATTTATTATCTAGTTACACAATAGCATTGCAAAAACCTTCTTCAACGAATACTTTTTGTATTGTTGATTCTGCTTCTTAATTTGTAAACGACTTTTCTCACTTAACACTGTTATTGTTGAAAAGCTTAATTCATTATGCTGATGCTGTTTTGAAATTAAATTATTCCAAACTTCTGACATCTACTTATATTGTATAATGGATGAATTGGTCTGCTCCCAGTTACACTTTGACCATTTTATTTTTATTTGTTATTCATTTAATGGATCAAAAAACTGAGAATCTACTAGATATTATTTTTGGCGTAGTTTGCGACACAGATTCCGAACCTGGTCCCAGCACATTGAACTCTAAATTACCCTGACTCCAAGTTCCAAAGCATTTAATTTTTAGTCCTTTCGTGAAACAAAAAACAACAAAGACTAATAATCTTCGATTTACGAAAGCGCATTAAAATTTTAAAAGTAGGTAAGTATCTTACCTCAAAAATTCGAATGATGCTAATTAAACATAATTAGCTTTGAGGTACGGATAGAGCAAAATTTTAGAAGGATGAATTGGAAATTATTATTTTACTTTTCTGATTCCCTTTTCATTTATCCCATTGTAACAAAATCACCCAATGGAATATAATAAATAGCTGCAGCAGGAGGTATACATGCAACAGGAATCATCAAATATTATTGAGTTATTTTGATAAAGGTATAATTATACCGAAACAATTGAGAGAGATATAGTAAACTCTATTTTTTGAAACATATTATGTACTTTTATTTTTTTTTAATGTGTACAATGTTTCACAAACCACCCACTAATAATGCTGTAAATAATATATTTTTAGATACAAATTTTTAATTTATATTTTACCTACTCCATCATTTTAGTTAGCTTTTTATGCAGTCTGTGTTTTTATTTATTAATAAACTTTTACTGAAGACTTAGCTTTGTTACTTTATGTCTATAAATATACCGAGATAAATATTTCGTAGAGGGCAACTTTTATACACAATGATATTTCAATAAGTCGGTATTACATAAGAAATAGCTTGGCTTCTGGAATATTTACGCATAGCAATGTGCGATGGACTCAATTGATACTGTGTGGGGACAATAATGAACAGATATGTCGAAAATTGCAAAAAAATACGTTTGTGATAAAACAGGGTAAATTTTCATCGTACAAAAAAGAGTAAAAGAAGAAAAGGTTCATTCATATGTATATACCAAAATTACTCAGGAAAAAAAGTTATAGACGATTTAAACAAAACAAAGCGGCACTTTTTTTCGAAATTTTCTACTTCGTTTGATACTAAAAACGACAAAAAGAAAATTACAAGTATTTCGATAGAAAATCCAATTAAAAAAGTACTCTTGTCAAAATCTGTTCATTTTTCATTTATTTGGAGAAAACTGAAAGAGGTGCCTTTTCAAATTACTCAAAAACGCACCTCTCTTGAAAAGGAGCATTTTGTGGTTTTATCATCTGTAGAGGTCAAACCACCATATTCAATCATAAAACCCCTTTAACGCAATTGTTCCATACTTTCTTTTATTTTTGTCTCTATTCTATTCTCTATATTACACAAATTAATGGATACCTCATCCATTAGAATAGATTAATTAAAATCAAAACGTAACCCTCTCTTTACTGTTGCGCAGTCGTTTAATAATTCACTTGTTTTACTTTCTGGTAAACAAAAATTATCATTGATAGTTATGTATGAATTCAAAATATCCAAAATAATAGAGCCTTATTAAATTACACAAGATCAATTATTTATCTGATTGGACTAGTTGTTTCATTTGTGAAGACTCATGATGTATTAATATTTCATTATAGCTGGTCAGCAAAATTAAAGAGGTAACTAATTTCAAACCTATCATTTCTCTGAATAACTCATTAGACATGATTAACAAAATTTCCAAAATAAGCCTACCGAATATTTGCAAATGTGTCTTTTGATGTACCTACGTATCTCTCCTCCAGTTGAAGTAAATTGATGGCCAAAACCTGTTTACAAATATCAACTAAGTTAACCCCATAATCAAAGATGAACTGATTTATTAACTACGTGCCTTACACAAAATTACTTGGTTTATAACAACAATTACTTCTACCAATAAAATAAGACATTATGGTTGCGGGCAAACTTTAAGTCTTTTAGTGACTGATATGTGTATGCGAGTTTAACGAGTACAGATAGTTTGTGAACGCTATTTGTAGATAATTGCTACTTATTGTAGGATCTTCCTTAATTACTTCACTACTAAGTAAAAATTAATTAACGAAACATTAAGTTTAGTTCATCCACTAAAATGTAAAAACCCCTGGAACAAAACGTGCGAGAAGTGAAACTTCTTTAGATTTAAATTAAAAAATTAAACTATTTCATTAACTAAACACCAGAAAAAATACAATTTTATTTTGAGTGGATGACTGCAGAATATTGGTATAGTTTTGTTGAACACAGGCGCATATGCGAAACATATACCTACACATATACAGTAGAGTAACCGCCACCTGCAGACAATTTGTAGAAATGGCAATTTTCGGATTACCTGTTAAAATGTCTGCTTTTGGACATGTCAACCAGAGCTCACACGTGGCCCTGTGACATGACGCGTGACGCGTGACGTTACACTTTTCGATTTTATACTCCAGTAAATTTCACTTTAAAATTGTTTATTGATATTTTTAGGCAATATTTATTTACCTAAATATATCATTGCAGGTACTATTACTTCCTTTAAAAATTATAATTCATTAGGTAGATTCATGAAAAAAAATAATAAGAATCCCTCACAAAAAGAATCTAATTCGCGCATATGTTAACTCAATATTGTGGTAAGCATCATCATAGAGAGTCGTCAGTCTAGACTAGTCGGACACGCACCTTTCTTATCCTGAGCTAATCTTCGCATTTTCCTAAAACTAGAATATCTTACATTCTTAACTACTTTTTGTTAACAGTAATCTCACTTAAGTATACATTTATTCCTCTTAACACTTGTTTTTGTTTTAATATGTCTCTAAATAGTCCTTCAAGACTGAGAAGGTTTCCTAATAACTCGCCTATTTTTCATTGATTTTCATAATGGCATCTGTTTTCGTATTCTATCTAATACCTCTTCATTTCTAACCTTCTCTATATCCGGTAGCGCTCACCGTCCATGTTTCACATCAATGGTGTCACACTCTAGACACACCCTTAACAACCTTTTTCGAATTTCTAAATTAACTGTTGGCGAACATAGAAGTGACTTTTTTTTGTTGAAGGCAACTCAACCCTGCACTATGCTTTGTCTCTACTACTTCTACTTCTTTCCTGACTTATCTGACTTCCTTGATATTGAAAATCAACCTCTTCTTCTAGTTTTTCTTCTCTTATTTTTATATTCGCTCTTTCCCTGCTTTTCCCTCCCTTGCACACCAGAATTTCTTTTTACTTTTATTTATTTTTATACAATACAATAATTTTTCAAAATTTTAAGAATTTGTTAAAAGTTACTTTCGGCAGGATTTACTCATGATGGTTGCCATTTCATGGTTAATTAATTGGTATTAATATGATTCATTATAGTTTTTACGCATAAGACCATCGAGGTACTAAAAACGCTTGTGTCTCCCTTACTATATGGTTATTTACATATGTCTGCAAAAAAAAGTACATCACCCCCTTTTCGGGAGTTTGGCAATTAACACATAATTCACTATTCTTTAGACATGTATAAATTTTATAATGTAGATGTGTTATTTCTTTCATGGTCCATGTAACGAGGAGTTGTTACTCTTGTCAACTCTTTTACGTACCTACTAAGTAATTAAAACGACACTATTTCTCACGCTCTTAATATTTACTTTTGACTTGTTTCAGGTGACAGTTGGCCCAGAGACACATATTCGTTTACCGAATAATAAGGTGCTGTGAATTATACAGATACAGTTTTACTACATCCTAAGAAAATGTGACGAGCTCGATGTAAAAATGCCAAAAATTAAAGAATGATTTTAATTGATATTAAATCATGGTGTCCTGTTCTATTCTCCCAATTACTGCTGCACTGCTAATTGGAGTGGTTGTTTTTGGTAAGTACATAGTTATTGTCGTATATATTAATTAGGCAAAGCATTTTAATTAAAATTTGTAAGTGTCACAGCTTTTGTGGCTCGTATGTGTGACTATATATACCAACTGACTTTAGCTTGATTTCTCATGACAGCTTAAGACTATTATTTCCGGCTAGTTTTGATTGCTATAATTAATTATATAAATTTAATTAAGTAGATTATTCTGCAAGAAAAGGTAAGGAAGTCTTTTCAATTTCATAACAACAAAAAATATTTCTTTATGCTAGTTTTGAGGCGTGTTTGTTTCTCACAATGAACATCTCGAACGCCTAGACACTATACGATTTTAACGAACAATTCAGATTTTTGTCTCGTTTTTCGATGTCTGCACGCAGTGCTTTTTAACAACTTTTGCTTATAATTATTTTTAGAAAAATTTCAATAAAAAACTAAATAACATTTACAATATGAGATTTTGATTTACTATGTGGGAGGTAGATGCTTCTGGCTAAAGCTTAAGCCAGAAGTATCTATCTCTGTTTTTGTACATTTGCTTTTTATCATAATGAGATATTATTGTATTATAAACTTTATCTAACATATCAAATATTCTACCCTTATGTGGTTCGTAATTAAAGTATTTTTCTATGATATATTATCGGTTCATTAAAGTTATTTTGTATACCTGTATACCCTCTTGCATCCAGCAATGGAAAGGCCTCTGGTGTCACGAAACCGCCCGTCAGGTGGCGCTCCGTCATTTCCATTGCTGGGTGATAGAATTGATTTAAAAGATTATTTTCGACGTTTCCACATTACAGGATATGATTTCTTGTCAATTTTATCATGAAATTATCACATCTCGGAGTATTCGCTTCATCATAAATAGTTTGATCTGAATAAAATCTAGTAAAATTTGATTCAGGAGTGTGGTATTTACCTAGACATGCCCTTAGGCATGATCTTTCGAACTTTCTCAAACTCTCCATTATGGACGGACTTATATTAAACCAAACCGGGCATGCATAAGCAAATGCGGGTCTCACTAAAAGAAGATAGCATATAACTTTTACTTTTTGGTAGAGATATTTTGACTGAAAAGGAGATATTGTCTTGAAATTAAGGAAGCCTATATATACTATTATTGCAATAGCATCCTGTAATTGTTTAAGTGATTAATCAAACAAAATCCTAAATTATAAATCTATATCTAATACAATGTTCTGTGTAGGAATAGGTCTGAAATGATAATTTGTATTCCAAGATCCGACCATCTGGAATTATGTGACTAGTAAAACGTGTAATTACTGCGAACACTAATTAAATAAAAACAGACAGACAGACACACGAGTGATCCTATAAGGGTTACGTTTTTCATTCGGATGTACGGAACCTTACCCGAGAATCAACTTAGCATTGTGGTTGAAAAAAACATGTTCTCCCATACATTCAAACTGCAAATGTAAATTTGTACACACAATATTGTTTCATTGAAAGATTTACCATGTTATGTTCAGACTATAGACTTCTTATTAATTTTCCTGTAATAGATATGTAAAGAACTGTTTTCTGTATTGTTTTCAAAATTTTAGGTTCAGTAGTTTCGGTGATACGGGGAGTGGGAAATGGCTAATTTTCATATATTTTTTGAATAATTTTAAAACTATTTAGTTTAAAAGTAATAAAAATATACATATTTGAGACCCTTACAACAAGCCCCTTTGTTTGATATGTCATACGGTACAGTTTGCAAAACTTTTTTTAATTTCGTATTAGCCCCCTAAAAGTGACCCCATCTTTAAAATTAATTTGTTTACGTTATGGAACTGTATTTGGGTCACAGAAATTCATATGTTTACTAAATTTCAACTTAATCGGTCCAGTAGTTTTGGAGCAAATTTACTGTGGCAGACGGCCAGACACAGGGGCGGCCTTAGCCACCGAGAAGTTCCGGGCGGGTAAACTTTTGCGAGGCCCTCGTCTTTGTGGAATTAGTTTTAATGATGATACTTGACGAGAAATTCAAAGTTATTCATAAA